CGACGCTCGTAGGAACACTCTCACTTGTTATGCTGTTGACTACGTTGTACCGCTTTTTGGGTCGTCCACGCTGACCAGTTCGTAGCAATTTCGGCCTACCCTTACCAACCTTGGTAACATCTTCAGATATCTCCTCCTGGTTGTCACTGCTATTATCATATACCGACTCACATGCTCCTTCTGCATCTGCACTGTCATAGGATGAACTGTCGCTCTCCAACTCGTCGTTGCTCGCTGTGGGCGGTTGCGGTTGTGGGCTATTTTGCATATTCTCTTCCCCGAGAAAAACTTGGAGTACATCATCATTTTCGCTACTTTTATCACCATCACTGCATGCTTTGCTGTTATCAACGAAATTTTCATTAAAGAGTACATCTCTCTTTACAACAATTTTGTTTAGCTCTTCGTCGTACAAACGGTACGCCTTGCTTTCGAGTGAATATCCAACCATAATAAGCTGTCTACCTTTTGCTGCAAACTTTTCTCGTCGTGTTTTATCAAGCGCCACTGCAACAGCACCAAACGTTTTCAAGTGGCCGACCTTTGGTTTTCGATTAAACCACATTTCGTACGGAGTTTTGTTCTTTAGAATTGCTGTTGGGCATCTGTTTCTCAGATATGCAGCCGTTGATACCGCTTCCGCCCACAAACTCTGCTTTACATGCGCATGTAACATCATACTCCTCGCCATCTCTACCAGAGTGCGATTTGCTCGCTCAACCACCCCATTCTGTTGCGGCGTATGTGGCACTGTTAACTCGTGTCGTATGCCGTGCTGCCTCAAGAACGCGTCAAAATCTTTATTGACATACTCCTTGCCATTATCGCTCCTAAACGCTTTGATTTTGCAGTTTGTTTGCCGTTCTACGTAAGTTTTGTACATTTTAAACTTTTCAAGCTTTTCGCTTTTGGCTTTCAGAAAATAAACACAGATAAATCTCGACTTATCATCTATTACTGGCCGTCTCCACAGGATAAAATTTATTGCTGTCCAGCTGTCATTTTGGTCGCTAGATATAAGTTATATCAGTGGCAATAGTTGTGTGGGCTTTTTATATCTTGATATAAGCATTTGTAAGATAGCTTCAAAAACGTATTTTTGCCAGATTTAATCGCTTAAAAAATTTAGAAAATAGGCTATTTTACATCCAAATACATAATTACAAATATTTTAACATGAAACAGCTTAATTTTTGCTTCTATATTAAATTAATAATGATGTTGCAGCGTCAACAAATATCGTGAGCCTCCAATTGATTTCACGTTAACAGGGCCGCAAACATCGGAGTGGATTAGCTCTAACAGATTTTTTGATCTGCGCTCTGTTGCCTTAGCAAATGGTAGTACATGTATTTTGCTCAACATACAAGTATTGCAGCACGTTTGCTCAATCCTTTCGTCGTACTTCAACCCGCACAACATATCACGACGACTTAGCTCACGAAGGCTTTGATAATTCAGGTGACCATACCAGTTGTGCCAAACTTCTTCATTGCTTACAGCGTACAAGCTATGTTGATGTAAATCAACAACATACAAATTACATTTCCTTTTCGCTTTGAGAATAACATCGCCTTGCTTGTTCTTGATCGAACCATGCTGTTGTTCGAAGCTGACCGTCATGCCGTGCTCAACTGCTTTGCCAATTGAGATGAAGTTGCCTTTCAACTCCGGCGAGTATAACACTTTGTGCAATCGAACTGTTCTCTGTTTCGTACGCAGCAATACTTCACCTTTGCCCAGCGCAGTAACAGCGTAGCTTGCTGCTAACCAAATCTTTTCTTTACACTCTTCTTACTTTACGAACAAATTTCTGTTGTTGCTCATGTGCGAAGTCGCCCCGCTGTCTATGTAACAACATGATCGATCGAAGCTAGTCAGTGTGTTTGCTGTTGCTATAACATTCATTGCAGCCTCTCCACCTTTTTGCTTTTCCTTGCATTTATTGGCAAAGTGACCCTTCTTCCCGCATGCAAAGCACTTGCCATTAAACTTTTTCTTTTGCTTTTTGTCATGCTCACGGGCAATGAAGGTCTGTTGTCCGCCTTCGTCTGACGATTCATTTTGTCGCTTTCGCCTCTCACCTTCTTCTAAAATCTTTAACTTTAAGGTGCTGAGTGAAGGCAAACTATCACGTGTCTCTATCGCTACGAAGAAATTTTCAAACGATTTAGGTAAACTTGAAAGCAGAATTATACTTAACAATTCTTCTTGAATGACTATGCCAATCTCTGCAAGCTTATTTCCGTAAAAGCATTGAGAAACTCCACAATATTCTCGTCTTCGCGCATGCGCTTGTTCAAGAGCTGTTTGTATAAGCTAACTTTCTGTACCGGCCCTTGCGGCTTGTGCACTTCTAGCAATTTCTACCAAGCCTCTGCCGCCGACTTGCAATTCTTTACGTAGTTTAGTTGATTGGGCTTCACACTCAGTAGGATAGTCGCCAATGCCTTCTCATCATTCACGGTCCATAGCGTAAGTTCTTCCGCATTCGAAGGCTTCGTGCCAGTCACCACTTTCCACAGACCACCATGAATCAGCACACTCCGCATCTGCACCAACCAGGTTTCGTAGCTTGATTCTTCAAGCTTATCTATAGTATAAAGCGATGTCATTACGCAAACTTTTTCTTCTTAATTTCGAAAATTTCTTTTAGGATCAGAATAAGGCCTCTGGGCCCATAACCTAATAAAACTCGCGCGTTTAAGTGTTTTTAGATCAGAAGTTTAATTGGAAGTAAGAATAGAAAATTGTATGTACATCATAAGAACGTCAGTACAAACTAAACTCAAAGAGAATACACGTTGTTGCGGTGATGCCAGACTTTAACAGCTTTAACATAAACAAAGAATCTGTATGCTTATTTGCATAACGAAAAACAAACTTATAGGGCCAAGTCGATATTGTGGAAACTAGGTATTTTTATGAGAAGATGTTTTTCATGGCAGAAATACACTCGGAGGTTTGCCGCTGTTAAGAAAAAACCCTTTTCCATATTTAAATATATACAAATGTTGTCTTCGTATGTCACGGTCGTCAAAACTCGAGAACGGCTGAACCAATTTGAATATTTTTTTTTGGTACTGTTCGGTATAATACCAGAACCAATGTATCGCAAAAAAATGGAGGGTTGCCACCTACTTGAAAATTTTTAAACCCAATTATATTGATAAAATAAATGAAATATTGCAATATGGATATCAAATTACAGAGGTTTAAGAAAGATAACTGCTGGAAATATTTTTGGCGAGTGTTGCCAGCTATTTGAACATTTTAACTCAGTCAAATTGATAAAATAAATGAAATATTGCCACGTGAGTGTCAAACTAAAGAGCTTTAAGAAGGCTTACAGCCGAAAATATATTTGAAGAGGGTTGCCACCTGATTGAAAATTTAACTAAAGTACATCGATAAAATAAATGAAATATTGCAATATGGGTATCAAATTAAAGAGGTTTAAGAAAGGTAATTGCTGCAGATATTTTTGACGAGGGTTGCCACCTATTTGAATATTTTAACTCAGTCAAATTGATAAAATAAATGAAATATTGCCATGTGGGTGTCAAACTAAGGAGTTTTAAGAAGGCTCACAGCCGAAAATATGTTTGAAGTAAGTTGCCACCTGATTGAAAATTTAACTAAAGTACATCGATAGAATAAATGAAATATTGCAATATGGGTATCAAATTAAAGAGAGTAATTAGATTACTGCTGCAAATATTTTTGAGAAGGGCTGCCACCAATTTTAAAATTTTAACTCAGTTAACTTAATTAAGTAAATGAAATATTGCTATGTGGGTATCAAACTAAAGATCTTTAAAAGGGCTTACAGTCGAAAATATTTTAAAGGAGGGTTGCCACCTGTTAAACAATTTAGCGCAATTTAATTGATAAACTAAATGATATATTACAATATACATAGATATTAAATTTAAGAGGTTTAAGAAAGATAACTGCTGGAAATGTTTTTGAGGAGGGTTGCCGCCTATTTTCAAATTTTAACTCAGTTAAATTGATAAAATAAATGAAATATTGCCATGTGAGTGTCAAACTAAAGAGTTTTAAGAAGGCTTACAGCCGAAAATATATTTTAAGAGGGTTGCCACCTGATTGAAAATTTAACTAAAGTACATCTAAAAAATAAATGAAATATTGCAATATGGGTATCAAATTAAAGAGGCTTAAGGAAAATAATTGCTGCAGATATTTTTCACGAGGGTTGCCACCTATTTGAAAATTTTAACTCAGTCAAATTGATAAAATAAATGAAATATTGCCATGTGGGTGTCAAACTAAGGAGTTTTAAGAAGGCTCATAGCTGAAAATATGCTTGAAGAGGGTTTCCACCTGATTGAAAATTTAACCAAAGTAGGTACATCGATAAAATAAATGAAATATTGCAATATGGGTATCAAATTAAAGAGGTTTAAGAAAGATAACTGCTGGAAATATTTTTGAGAAGGGCTGCCACCAATTTTAAAATTTTAACTCAGTTAAATTAATTAAGTAAATGAAATATTGCTATGTGGGTATCAAACTAAAGATCTTTAAAAGGGCTTACAGTCGAAAATATTTTAAAGGAGGGTTGCCACCTGTTAAACAATTTAGCGGAATTTAATTGATAAACTAAATGATATATTACAATATACATAGATATTAAATTTAAGAGGTTTAAGAAAGATAACTGCTGGAAATGTTTTTGAGGAGGGTTGCCGCCTATTTTAAAATTTTAACTCAGTTAAATTGATAAAGTAAATGAAATATTGCAATGTGGGTATCAAACAAAATAGTTTTAAGAAGACTTACAGTCGAAAATATGTTTGAGGAGGTTTGCCACCTGTTTGAAAATTTAACTCAATTAAATTGATAAAATAAATGAAATGTTACAATATGGGTACCAAACGAAAGGTATTTGAGAAATCTTGATTTGGAAATATTCTAAATAGGATTATGCAATATGTAAAAGTAAACTGAAAATATTGAAATTAAATGACGTATTACATAACTGGTTCGAAACGGAAAGTGATTGGGAAAGCTTTACTAGAGAATTTTCTTAATGTTTCCACTTATACAAATCCGGACAGTTTAAAAAAAGAGAGAATTCACAACAACTTATCGTAAAACGAAGTGATCATATTATCAATGAAGAGTTGGTATACAAATTACGCAATGGAAAAAAAATTAATAAAAAGCTACTGATACAAATGAAGAAATGATAAAAAGCGTAACGAGAACATAAAAATATCCCATGAAATCAAATAATGAAAACTTTAAATTGTTGTCACCATTCCTTTGCATTATAAAATAGTTAAATTTTAATCATAAACAATTTCGTTTGGTCGCCATATCCTACTAAGTATATTGCGAGTAAAGAAATTTTGAATAACATCAGATAATATTATTATGATTAAAATTACTATTACTATTGTGATTGGGTGTGGTGATCAACGAAGACTAGACGAAGTAACTCCTGTCATCAAACAAAGAGTCAGAGCATTCCCGCCTTTACACCCACATCACTGTTGCCAGTTTTAATTTCGAGAAAGTAGAGAATATCGTTTACTTGGGAACCAGCATTAACACCAATTCAGAATCACTCTAGCCAACAAGTGCAACTTTGGACTGAATAGGCAATTCGGGAGTAAAGTTCTCTCTTGACGTACAAAAACCACACTCTATAACTCACTCATCATGCCCGAGCTGATAAATGGCGCAGAAGCTTAGAAAATGACATCATTCGATTAGACGGCTCTTGGCATAGTTGCCAACTTAGTGCTTTAAGCACTAGATTTAGTGCTTTTTGAAAATTAAAACGCCAAAAATAATGGTTTAGTGCCTAGTGCCCTTTTTAGTGCTTTTTTCTGAACTAAAATTTCTGAATTTACAAATTTAAATGCACTAAAATGCAAACCATGATTGATAAAAAGATGAAGTAGCAAACCCACGTTCTTGCGTTTTTGTTAAATTGTATTCGCGTTGAAAATGCTAGCACGCAGATAAGTTAAGTATTTATTTTTTTATTTTCTTGATTATTGATTGATTACACAGTTCGAAACATTTTAACTTTTTTTGCCACCTGAGTGGAACCGTTTTGTGTAGATTTTTCGGTGCTGAATCCAAATCTAGCTGCAGAATTTCTCTACCACGTCAGAATTTTGAGATATCCTAGCCTCTAAGTGTAAAAACACGGTTTTTCGCAATATTTGAGGTTATATTATAAAACAAAAAATTGTTTCGCTCACTTCTACTTAGGGTATCATTAAGTATTACTCTTCCCCTTTAAAATTCAATTTCGTTTGTTGCGATTCGATTGTTCCTTCTCCAGATGTACCAGTTTTGCAAGCATGAATGTGTATTTATTTATACATGGAAATATTGTTAATTTTTTTACTTTTGTTTACCACAAACTGTTATCTTTTGATAAAAAAAATCCTTATCCGTATCCTTTGATAAAAAAAAAATTTAGTGCTTTTAGTGCGGTAAAACGCTCTTTTTTCCAAGGTTTGGTGCTTTTTGAAACTGAAAAGTTGGCAACACTGGCTCTTGGAGTATTGGAGAGAAAGATCTTAGGAAAGATTTACAGGCCTCTGCGCGTTGGCGACGGGAGTACCGCAGACGATGGAATGATGAGTTGTATGAGCTTTACAACGAAACGGACATAGTGTAGCGAATGAAAATATATCGACTCCGCTGGCTTGGCCACGTCTTTCGAACGGGAAGCGACGTTCCAGTTCTGAAAGTATTAAACTCGCAATCCGCTGGTGGTAGCAGAGGAAGAGGGAGAGACCAAGTGGAGAAGGACTTGGCTTCACGTGGCATTTCCCATTATCGTCAGTTGGCACAGAGAAAAACGACTGGCGTTCTTTTTCGATATCGGCCAAAATGGTTTAGGCGTTTACAGCGCCAAATAAGAGGAAGAATATGCAAATGATAATTGACGGAGTTGGGGGGCAAGGAAGGGGGGAGGAAAACATTCCTTATCAGATTGATTATGGCAACGGTTCGTCCAAACAATTACATAACCTTAGCTATCGCTTCGTCTGGAATTGCTACCAGGAAACATTGCTAATTCAGCTCTTAAGCTATTGAACATATAAATCATCGAAACTCCTACTTGCAATATTTCCAGAACATCCGATATGGAAAAAGTAGTACACAAATTTAAACAACTATTTGGGATCAGTGCACGATGGCACATAAAAAATTGCTTGAGGTTCTTGATCGATTGTCATGGGATTTGCATGGAAACGTTCAACCATTCGGGAATGTATTGATATTGCTCTCAGGAGATTTTACGCAATCATTGTCTGTAATTTCTTGATTAACACTAGATAAATGCTTGCCGGAAATAGTCAACATTGTGGCAAGACGAACATATATACACTGCAGCCGAGGTATTCTCGCGACAAGTACTGGACATTGGGAACGGAAAGCTGCCCACCAACGAGAGATTAAGACGAATTTTATTGCCTGATAATTTTTGTAACTTAGGAACATCCAAAGGAGAACTGATCGAAAGAATGTTTCTTAATTAAGAAAATTAATTATTGGCTCAGTGAACGAGCTATTCTTGCTGCGAAGAATAAGGATCAACTAAAATAGAGTGGTATTGACA